AAAAAAAACAACCTATTTTCATTTCTCTGTTTGGATTTTGAACAATCAATAACTTATCCATTAATTTAATGTCTTCTAATAATAAATGGCACACTTCTTTACGCCGGCAGGCTCCATATATTTCGAAAATATTTTTCATCTGGCGCCTCATTAGTAAACTTCTAGACTTTTTCAAATGTGAGATTTTTTATTTTTTTGGACCTATAACTTTAATTCTAAAATTTCATTCGATGTTTTTAAGTCTACACCAGTTAAGAAAATTAGAATATGCTATGTCGTACTGCTGAACCAATTTTTTTTGTAACAATTCAAATGAAGCTCTTTTTGCAGCCTCTGCAATATCATCAGAAACACACAATTCCTCACTATTGTTCTTCATTATGCAAGACATTAAACACCAGCAAGAACTTTAAATGTGACTTTAAATAAAACGCATAAGCTTTAAACAATACCTACTGTTCGTTGGTAACCAGGTGATTTGGCGTTACCTGACACGGCCACTTCACAACAAATGCGATAACATGAAAATAGTTAAGTGACAAGAGATGTCAAAATGTGTTTTATAGAAATATTGAATTTATCCATTTTATTATGAAAACAGAACTATTGCACACAACTTTTTCACTCACAAAATAAAACCTTACTTTTAACACTCATATCATACATAGCTATTGATTTGAAGTTCCAAATTAATATATTTAAAGGAATTATTTTTATGAAACAGAGCGAAATCAGTGAAAATATCAATAACCATAACCATAACCAAAAGTGGCTATCTCAGAATTTGTCTTTGTGCATGATCTACAATACTTTATGAAGAGTCCTTATTTCCTTCGAAGTTCTCCTCTGAATGTGATAATGAAGAAGTAAAAACCGAAAAAGTTCATTTTTAGAAGTAATCTGTCTAGAAAAATATATTCTTCCCAATATACTTCTACTGGTTTACTTTCGTCTTCGTAATTTCTACAAAAGCTGTCTAATGAAGTGCATTATATCTATTGAAGTGCATTCCTTTTCATGCCGTGCGACATTCACTGATACCTTCAAGCGAAATCCAAGTATGTTGGATACCATCGAACTCAGAACCTCCACGATATCTGATAGTTGAAAAAAAACCGTAATAAATGAGGCTGCTCATCCGGATCGATTTACGGTTTGAAATTATTGAAAAAAAATAATTCTGTCAAACATTCACCAGATATAGATACTTATTTCCATCCCCATACCTGTTTTTGAATTCAATATTCATTTTCATAATTATATGCTCATGGCTTACGATTTTGACTTTTTGTCTGGGAAAGGTGATTGATTCAAACGACTTCACCCACCACAAACGCACACAGAACAAAAATACATCGCACATTTCCCTATTCACTTCATACACCGTCATCCATATAAGACTCTGGATTTTTTAATAGAATTCATTATACGAGTATAACGAGTAAGAACATATGGTATCAACAATATGCTTATTCACATGAAGTTTTTTCCAATAAGTGGATCATCAGGTATAGTAATGGAATGACCAGATCTTTTTCCGATTATTTTAATGGGATGAAATCAAGAGTATACCGTACAGGACATATACATACAGGCGATTGATTCAATATAAAATATAAAATGTGATATAGGAATTTGAGGATCGTATTTGTTACTGTCGTTACTGTTACTGTGTGAGGCATCATGAAGATTTTCTGCATTGTGCATTTCCATGTGGTGGTGTTTTATTTTTATAATACCGATGATATTATAATATTCATAAATTTCCAAATTCACTGCTGAATACAAAACAAAATATGATTTTATTTGTAGTACTATGTAATTAACTATAACCGTTGTCGAGTTATTGATTTTTTTTATGAAAATGCTAGGTACAATTAGAAACTAAAGAAATCATCCCTTCCAATTCTGACCAATCATAAAAAAGGTTTTGGGCTATTGAGTTCGATGAAACCAGTTTCTCAATATTATACAGAATGTTCAAAAATAATTTTTAAAATTTCGGACAGAGATAATTTTGTTATTTCAAATAGAACACCCTGTATTTTTCGTATTCAAAAAACACTTGATTGTGAGATTGTCACTGAACAGTTTTACAGAAACGCAACACGAGTTTCGTCATAAAGTGTTTTTCGAATACCCTCATACGAGTCAACGTAAGATTGAAAAAGATACATGAACGTTTGGAGATGAATTATAGGTACACAAGTTATAGGACCATACTTTTTTATGCTAACTTGAATGCTCAAACATTGTTACAATTTTTACGAGATGATCTGCCTGAGCTTCTGAGGAATATGCCGCTAAATGTATGACAGCGGATGTACTTACAATTGGATGGAGCTCCGGCACATTTTAAATTCAGTGTCAGACAGTTTTTGAATATGTGCTTTCCGAATAAATGGATTAGTAGGGGAGGACCACAAAATTGGCCAACGTGAACACCAGATTTGACTTGCCTCGATTTTTTACTATGTGGGTACTTGAAGTATGAGGTTTACGACATTCATTCAAACACATTGGAAATAATGAAGGAGAGAATAAGGGTTGCGCAAATGTTATCAAATGTTAAGCAGTCTTTTATACAGAAAGTATATTTTTGTATTCAACAGGATGGTCATCATTTCTAGCACCTACTTTGAATTAAAAACGTCTGTGTTTCATATTTTGTTGTTGTTTCAGTTAAATAATAAGAAATGTGCATAATCTATTTAATGAACTACTGTCAGATAATGAATGTAAATGATAACTTCATTTTAATGAACAATACATTTTTTTGATGAAGTGAAGTACAACAACTGTCAAAGATAATTCTGTGATAATCTCAAATAAATGTCGTTTTATAGCTATTTTGATTCAGAGAATGCATTGAAATAATAACTACTTTTCAAGGGAGCCAATATTTGAAAAACTGGAAATAGGAAACTCTGAAATGAAATGAAATTGCCCAGACCAAAAAAATACAGGATGTTTTATTTGGAATAACAAAGTTGTCTTTGTGCAAAATTTTACAAAATTCATAATATTCGATAATATTCAAAAACACGCAGTTGGATTCACGCCAAGTCTAATGGAAGGATTTACGACAAATGTCCTGACGGAAAATCACTTTGCAAAAGTTCCGGAAGCTTTTAGTAACATCCCTCGCATTTTTTCATGCACTCAACCATCAGCAAATCCCTTTCAAACATTTATCAATTTGTTACATGTATTCAAGCAAAAGTAAATCAAGCGACACTCATTCGAAAAACACATCGCCAAAGCCATTTAATTATGAAAGCGAGCGCACATTCAGAAGTCCAAACATCATCCCAAAAATATTCAATATCTACTACCTCTATCTACCACACTCTCGAATTTGTTATAAAACCAATCGCAATAATCTATAAATTTCACTCGACTTTGGAAACACCGAGAGTTCGCAACGAAAACACTTCTGTCGAATCAGACAATGGAGTAGCTATATTATCCGAACTTTGGGAGCTGAAAATCGAAAAGGAAAGAAGACTGTAAACACAGCAGAGCAGGACGCGAGTGAACCGAGCAGGTACGATTTCGAAGAGAAACTGAATGGCGATTGGCAAAACGGTGAAACTTGAAACAGGTCGAATCGAAATATCACGGATTGTGAAACTCTGGAGAGAATATTATAGGTTTTATCCAATTATTTGCTCACGTGGATAGTATACCATTCACGCTATGAATTATTCCTCAATTTGAGGGAGTAGGACAACTGTACAGGGTGTCAATTTGAAAACTTCCCACCCTTAATATCTTCCTTCCATTGAATAATATAAGGAATGGAAAAAACAGGTCAATTTTGTAGTCAAGTGAGACACTTTCAAAGAATATTTGTAGCCCTCGTGATTCAACCCCAAGAAGGGGCTAGATATAACCCTTAGAATCTTAAATGGGAACGGGTGGCACATCGTTTGATTTTTTGATGAGCATTTTCCGAAAAATAGCGTTCGTAACTTACACATATAATTAGAAATTTCCTGTTCTGAGATGCATTGTTGGTTATTCTCCTCTTAAAAAGTCTGTTTTCTGTTTAAAAATCTGTTTTTCCGTTAATCAGCTGTCGCCTCCATACGAACGAGAACTGTCAGAAGTTGAGAAACTTGTGCGCGAGCTGAGGACTAACGAGGTCTTACCTTTTAACATGTGAGTCCTAACACGGTTGCAGAATCATCCCAGCTTAAACCAGATAAATTCTCTCGAAGTCGGGCGCAGTACCCCCGCAGCCAATTCGCCATAAAGACATTACAAACGTAAAATTAATTCACGCTCATCTTATAAATGGTTCAAAATGTCGTCCATTTTGCTCTAAACAGTAATAAAGTCTGTTTTTTAATTCCTCTCTAACACTAGGGAAAACTCCTCTAGGAAATGACTGGCATGCTGTATTTTAAGTTGTTCATTATCAGAAGGTTGTATTCAACAAAAGTAATTTTTTGTGAAGGAAAATCAGTTTTTTATTAGCCATTGTTTTGGTATTTTCACCTTCCACAATCTGAAAAATATGAAAATTATAATAGGGAACTTAATAGAAGTGTAGAAAGGACAAACTTTTCAGTATACTCCAATAAGTTACTGCGTAAACTCAAAGTATTTTTCAGAATGAAGAATGTTCTATTCATCAGTAACTTTTCGGAGGTCGAAATCTGCCTCCGTCTTCAGAAATGGACAAAAAGTTCAAAGATATCTGCAGTTATTCTTCTCCTGATTATTTATTCCTCAACTTCTTCGACAGATGTCAAAGGTTGTCTTTTATAAATAACGATCTCAACATGACCCCAAAGCGTCGACATGTCTCCTTTCAATCTATGATGGTATGCGACTAAATTTGTACGCCGTTCCTCTATGTACGTACCCTAATGCAGTACACTTGCATTGGCACGAATGGAATATTGCTGTTATTTACGATAACAGTCTCGGTGACTCACGGATTGATATCGGAAGCTAGACTGTGGTTATGTGATTGATGTATGTGTATTTATTGTTAGTTTGCAATGCAATGCAGTTTATCGAATGTTAACAGTATTCTCCAAATGCATATTGTCGCAGTCAATTATTTCAAATGAATAATGATACACAACGTCATTGTATCAAAAGATACCAATGATTGATTTATATTGGTATCCAAATTGGGCAGCAGTGTGGAATGGTATGAAATGGGTATAGCGGATTTGAAATATTGAACAAATCAGGGTGCAGAAGCAAAGGCCTTAATCTATGAACTATCTATCTATAAAGCAGTGATAACAGTGATAACAGTAACGGTTTAAATTTCTGAATTCAGAAGAATCAGTCGAACCGCCGTGTAGGTTCGTTATTATATCAGAATATTGCTGGGATGGTGGATTGTCTATTAAGCAGGAGTAAATAAAACCGAGGAGATTTTCACGGTCAGGATTTGGGAACGATTCAGATTAGTATATATCGTAAAGCCGATACGAAAGCAAGGTTCTACCTAGGGACTGACCGAAACCTAAAAACATGTAAGGTCAGTTAAATTAGTCAATTCAATATTTTCATTTCCTATTTTTGAAATATTAGTAGAGAATTCCATAACACATGTTTTCAGGTTTTTTGGACAAGAATAATAAGATCACCTGTGAAATATTGACGTCGAGCACTTTTCGACCTTTTATTAATTTTTTGGAGGTAAAAGAAGCAAACGTTCAAGACATACTTTTCTGGTAATTGGAGAAATCTTTCGAAAAAGCTATAGTTGCTTCATACACGTCGTTCTTTGAGATATAAGTAGACATTCTAGAAAGTACCAACGGAGAGCCATAGTAAGTATAAAAAAATATCAAAAATGATGATACCCCGTGAGTAGCAGCCCTGATATTGTTGATATATTTTGAAGCGGTTTGAGTACTGAAATCTACAGTTCATTTCTAAAATTAGAGGATAGTTAAAGTATTTGCCTTTTTTCTGTGCACCTAAGACAACTGTTGACGGGGTTTGATTGTAGTTAATCGAAAAGTAGATTCTGGATAGATTAGGATTCAGACAGTTACTTTCATGATCCATCTGTGTCAGTTCAATACTCGAATCTTTTGTTTCGATATTGTTCCGTGATAAGAGTTCCCCAGTAGTAATAGCGTGATCAAAACGTCCTATATTTACTCGAAACGTTTGTTTCAGTATTGATTTCTTTTATTAAGTTCTTTAAATTTGATGAATATATATTTGCCTGTTTTTTTCTACATAAGTTTGTTGCAAGTAACATATGAAAATCATCTATTTCGACTGTTGAAAAAAACATATTTTTCTCACTCACGTCCAGCCCCAACAATAATCAACTAGCCTGGGCCGAGCTACTTTTTGGTAATTACATAAATACCAAGGTAGGTTATAAGAGAAAGGCCGAATGGAAACGAAATAAAGCTATTGGCATCAGAAAAAGCATCAGTTCGGAAAAAGTCAGACAATATAGAATTAATATCACTACCATATTTCTCAATACAAAATATCATTGAGGATAATAGAATTGTCATTAATAACAATCTGAAAAGAACATCAGTAAACAACTGGAATTTAACTTCGAATAGAAACAGTATGGAGTCATTCAAAATGAAAATGACGAAGGATGAGAATACGATCAAATGAAAACGCATATTATTGAACTTCGTTTATTTCTTAATAAAGTTATAAGGTTCACCTGTCCTACATTTTCTGTCTTAATGTTCAATGAATAATTGAATATTCAAGACGTAGTGTATTCTTGCTCATAAGACAGGGACCAACATCAGCCAAAACAGTGACAAAATGTTTCAAGAATCTCCATGAGAACTCTTGTGGTTGAAGTATAATATCTGGACTCCCCCGCACTTTCCCTGTTTCAATAATATCATTGTTAAATTCATAAACGTTTTTAGATTCCAATAAAGTAAAATACCAAAAATCTACAACTTGAGTATACCCAAATTAATCTTTTCTTCTCTTATTCTAAAATAGACAGAAATTTGAAAGAAAAGCCAGTACTTTTTGCTTTCACATCTGCCTACGTGTAGCCCCTGCATCGATTATTCTCCATCTCTGTACTCTTTCGAGCTCCAATAGAGCTTTCATTGTTTCACTCTACGATCTATTCAATGGACATTTATAGACGACGCAGCAATTTCTCAGTGTCTCATTGAAAATCCTGTCCCAATCATTTCAGCACTGGGTAATCCAGAATCCGTCGACAGTGTAGTAACGAAGCATGAAGAAAAAAAGGGAACAGGTTTTCATAAATGTTCAGAAATTCACAAAGAAGTGTATACTTTGAATGATGACCTTTTTTTTTGTAGAAACAAATAATAAACTTCAATAAATTGATGGATGTACCCGCTACGTGGTAGGAAATTATAATGAAGAAAAGAGAATTGAAACTTTTTATGTTTTTTACTATTTTCATTTCAAACGTTACTGCAGTTTCGTCCTATAAGAACATTTTCAAACATTAAACTAAGTTTAATATTTAACTGCAGTAACGTTAGTTACAAATAAAAGTTGTAAAAAACATAAAGAGTTTCAACTCTCTTTTCTTCATAATAATAAACTTAATAGAAATTAGACAAAAGTATTTTCTTTAGCCTATATTGAATATATACTTTGCCTATGCATTTTCGTTATGTTAATCAATAACCCACTGGTTTTGAATAAACATAATTTATTTCAAATGAATGATGACAAAATGTATGAAATCAAAGAATCATTAACATTCATAAAATAATTTGATGAAATAGCAATTCTTCAATTGCCTAATAGCACTTTTTTATTTTCGGAATTTTTGAAATGTATAATATTAAACGGATATGGAATGGTCGAAAAGGAGCAATAGAATTGTCACTATGATCACTCGACTTATCGCATCTAGTTTTCAATATAAAGGGGCATCGATAATTTATAAAACACATATCCGAGATTTGGATGGATAACATTCCGAACATTTAAATTGTTGAAAAGGTAGCTGAAAAACTTTCGAAATTTTAGAGGTTGTGTCGGCATCTACAAGAGAAATGATGCGATATAATTGAAGACTAGCCTATCCTCCTTTATAATGAATTTGACGTGTTTTTGCATTTCATTGATAACCTGGTTGAGCGTCGGTTATATGCCATCGCCGACAACTTGAAATCTGAAACTCGATTCGGTTTGCGATTCGTTATGTCCTGGATTCCATATACGTTTTCTGTATATTTATTGAATTTATTGGAGCCTCTGGAGACACCCTATATTTCATTTTACGAGAGAGATGACATTGGGAGACCAATATCTTCTGCTGGTACTGCAGGTTTTTCCGGGTTTTCCTGTAGATAAAACAGCAAATGCGCTACTGGAATCAATGAAGTCGCCCCGGAGCGCCAATTAATTTTTATTGTTGTTTTATAATTTCACGTATGAAATTTGGTGTATATTGTTCAGAGCTAATAATTCTGGCGGATAATGTCTAATGAATGTGAACAAAATTGTTATAAGATATATTTTTGGAAATTTTATATAACTCCGCTAATGAACTTCCGACAGAACTAATTTCGACTAGATTCTTATGATTAAGCTCGACTGAGGATTAATTATAATTAAAGAGAATTCAAGCTTTTGTATTCGAAATACATCTTCTGAAACAATTTAAAGGATGTTCAGTTTGTTAATTGAAAGGATTTGGGTTTGTTTGAAACTTTTAAGAAAATATTGAACAGTAGACGAGTACCGTATAATTTTCATAACAGCAATCAAAAAAATTCTACATGAAATAGAACAAAAATGCCCTTTCGAATATATTAGGAGAAGAGTCAAATTTGGTTATTTCAAATGGATCTTTCTTCATTTCAAATTCATATTCAACAACAAATATTCAATCTATCTTACAAGTTTCAAAAATAATTGATATTTTTTCGACTTTTCACAAGGTGATGGAAATTGATACTAATAATAAAAATGGAAAAAGAAACCTCTATCTTTCGTTATTTCATTGCCATCAACATTGAAATAATGAAAATTTTCTATGGAATGTTCTTTTCACCTTCACTCCCTAGTTTTTGTGAGAATTCATTTTGTATCCTTCGGAACAGAGAAATTTTTGCATAAAAATTGATAATTTGACATAGCATGTGATAAATTTGAATGTTAGTATAGTTGGGCATTTCAATGATTATAATATAAAATTTTTGCACAGATAACTTCGATCCAGTATGTAGATGTTTTTCCCAAAATATAAGAAAAATATTTATCAAAAACCGAAAAAGATAGGCTTGAAGATGAGAGATTACGATTACATGTGCTTATAGAAGCCGGACTTTTCGATCCCTGCGGTTAAACCGATGATTCGATCGCAATAAGATACTTCGTGAAAAAATGCATATGTTTGTGATTTTATTGTGCCCTAATCAGTTGAAATGTTTTTAAAATCATATATAGAAAGATGTTAACTGCTGCTTTTAATAATACCGAAAAAACTCCAGACTTTACAAAAATGCTCTACAACTGACATTGTGTAGAAATGGAATCAAAGGAATCAGTATCTTTAAAATGTTCAACACAAGAGGCCTCAACTGCCTCAGAAAACACATTTTCGTTAAGTTAGCAAAAAGTTCATAACAGCCACAAAAGTTCAACCGATTTAAATGAACAATAATCGAAGGTGAACATCAATGTATAAACATTGTCATATTTTGGCGAACATACCAATAATTTCGCTCGTTTTTTAAAAAAAGAATGCATAGACGTAGCTCACAGAACGAATATAATTAGTCCAAGTAAATTCATTAAAAAACAATTTATACAAAACTTCGGTGTCGGATAGATCAGGATTTTATAAGCTGACTTGTGGCTCTTGCCCAAAACTGTATATTGGCCAAACAGGAAGAACATTTTCCCAAAGACTTAAAGAAAAAAAAAGTAGTTTTGTTAATAGTGAAACCAATTTCTCGTTCGCAAACCACTTTTCAGCAGAAGGGCATGAGTTTATTCATGAATACGATGTGTTACATTTAGAAGAGACAAGTTTGAAACTCAATCTTTTAGACTGTTAGAAAATCAATAGATTTGAGAATTCGGGTAGTTTACTGAATGACCATATAGAATTAAATAACTCCCCGGTACTAAATATTTTTTCAAATGTAGAAACCGGTACATAAGCTCAAGTAATTTAATTCATTATAAATTCAGGTACACATAAAACATTAAATGTCCAAATTAATATTACTGGAGTTTTATCCCAACACCAAACCGTTATTTTAGGACCTCGATATGTGTTTCGATCACCAAGTGATCATCTTCAAGAGAAATATTAGTGATCATCTTCAAAAGGAAGATTAGTTTAATCTTCCTCTTGAATATTACTGGAGTTTTATCCAAACACCAAAACATTATTTCAACACCTCGACACGTGTTTCGATCACGAAGTGATCTCCTTCAAGAGGAAGATTGAACTAATCTTCCTTAGTTTCGATCACCAAATGATCTTCTTCAATAGAGAAATTGAACTAAGCTTCCTTAGTTTAATCTTCCTCTTGAAAATGATCACCAGGTGATCGAAATACGTGTTGAAGTGTTGAAATAACGGTTTGGTGCTGAGATAAAACTCCAGTCATATTTATTATTACATCAAAGGTTCCAAACCGTGCATCAGAAGTATCAAATGGCCAGGTAAAACTGAGGTACTTAGAATAATTAAGGTAGGTAGGTAGGTCTGAAGTGAGTGGGTCTATTCGACCCTCCGCCGCAACCCGCAAGGGTTTATTGTGGCTCACACCTATTCACACTCGGCCAAATAAATCCAACTTCTCAACGAAGGTACTTCAAA